TTTTCCCAAGACAATTACAAAAACGTTTCCCAAAGGATTGCCATACGACTATTCATGTCCGAGCATTCAAAGTTCCTTACCAAAAAGAATTTGTACCAATTGTAGTCTATATTTTGCCACTATCAAATCAATGAAACAGCACAAAACAGTTTGCTCAAGTATCGGATTATCGAATGAGATTCAAAAAGTTAAACCTCATTGCCTAGTTGCTCAACGTCTATCTGAACTCATGTGTGTCTTTTTAAATTCAGACAAAGAAACAATTGAATGGCATGATAAGGACGATGTTGATACCTCTGATCTCAACTGGCCTTCAATAATTATTGAAGAGCATGGAACTCCAATACTTGAAGGTCAAATTCCAATTTGGGAACAAATTTAGGACATGTTTCTTAAACAGAAACATGTCAATTGTATTTTTTTTTAATATGAACTGATACAATTAAACAGACACTTCGAAACTTTTATCTTTGTCACGTCACACAGGGGTGGGGGTGGGGAGTTTTTAAAAATGCCACAAAGTGTCTTATAGGGGAGGGGGTCTCTAAAAATGCCTAAAAAAATGTCACGTATTATTTGAACAGCCCCATATATATATATATATATATATATATATATATATATATATATATATATATATATATATATATATATATATATATATATATATATATATATATATATATATATATATATATATATATATATATATATATATATATATATATATATATATATATATATATATATATATATATATATATATATATATATATATATATATATATATATATATATATATATATATACATATATATATATATATATATATATATATATATATATATATATATATATATATATATATATATATATATATATATATATATATATATATATATATATATATATATATATATATATATATATATATATATATATATATATATATATATATATATATATATATGTATTTATATAACAAATTTTTTCAAAGGTTTTTTTATATATCTATATAGAAAACCATTAAAACTATTGATTGCTATAATTGCTGTATACTGCTAAAATTGTGGCTAGTGGTAGCCAATATTCATTAATGATTCATTAACATGATTTGTGATTATTTAGATTAGTGGTAGTCATTAATCATGAGCATAATCAAAAGTTTAAATCCACCACACGCATTTATATATATCATGTTACTCTGCACATCAGCATTGCTCAATGAGGTTAGTATTTCAGAGTTGAGGGTAAGGAGAGTATCAAATTTAAAAATTCCTCAAAAACCTCTTCTCAGCTCTAGTGCCCTCATCATTTGATTCTTCCATAAATATAGTAGTCCTCGGGGTTAGGGTCCCTTAAACTCAAGTGGCCCTCAGGGTTAGAGTTAGAGTTAAGGTTAGGGTTATAAATAAACCAAAAGTTTATTTATAATATAAAACCGAAGTCATTTTGATATTTAATTAAAACAAAACTTTATTTATAATGTAAACACAACTTTTTTTTTTTATCTTTGCTTTTAACAAGGCTGCAAGCAACCACTAATTAGTGTTGGAAGTTAATGGAAGATAAAAGATGAAAATAGTAGAGCAAGAAAACAATTGACAGATGACTTAAAAGATTGCAAATTATATGAATCAGGAAAGCAAGATGAAGGAAGCAAATTCCAAAGAACTGATGTTCGAGGAAAAAGGCTAGACAAATAAGAATTTTTGGAACACTTAGGAACAGTAACAGAAATAGGATGAGACTTAATTGAATGACAAGTAACACGAGAATGAAGTTGAGTAAATGGCACATGAGATGCTAGTTCTTTAGAGCAGTGCCCATTATAATATTTGTAGAAAATAGAAAGAGAAGTATTATTACAATGATGTGATAATGCTTGAAGGTTGGCTGCAAAAGCAGGTCCAACTATGTTTACAATGCGTTTTTGCACCTTGTCTAAAAGAGAAAGGGCTTCATTAGAAGACCTGCCCCAGATATGGCAACAGTATTACATACATGGCCGGATTTGAAATTTAAAGAGATACAGAACAGAATCCAGAGTAAGAAAGTGTCGAACTCGATAAAGAGATGCAACTATAGCAGATGCTAATTTTGCAACGGATTTGATATAAAGTTTCCAAGAAAGATCAGAGATAATCCTAGAAGATGAAGGGTAGATGACTCATCAAGTACATTACCATTTATAAATATAGGAAGATCTAAATTATTGCAATAACAATAATAAGTTTTATCTGAATCAAAGTTCACCAGCCATAGTGAGCCCCATGTTGTAGTAGAAGTTAGATCCTTTTCAAGCTCAAATGCCCCCTCTAGCAATCAGAGATTAATGGCTTCTTATCATGACAAGAATAAATGGTAGTACCATTAGCGAACAATGCCACCTTAGATATGAGAATATCTGGAAGATTGTTAGTGTAAATTAAAAAGAGTATAGGGCCAAGGATTGAACCTTGAAGAACCCCTGGGGTTACAGAATAAGAAGAAGAGTGCTTTCCATCAAGGACAACTTTTATACTATGATTGGAAAGGAAAGATTCAATAATTTTTAAGATGTTTCCAGATACACCATAAGTTTATAGCTTATGGAGAAGACCAGCATGCCAAACTTTATCAAACACTTTAGAAATGACAAGAACAATTACCTTAACCTATCCACCTTAATCTACTGCACGATAAAACCTATCGGTTAATACTGTTAGCAAATCAGCCGTAGAAAAAGAAGATCGAAATCCATATTGATGATCAGAGAGTAAAATGTTAAATTCAAGATGAGATATTAGGTGTTTGTTAATGAAAGATTTAAAAACCTTGCTTATGATAGGAAGAAGACTAATGGGATGGTAGTTAGACAATCAGATCACTCTCCAGAATTTTTAAAAATAGGAATAACAGATGCTGCTTTCAAGCAGGCTTGAAAACAAGACTGAAAAGCACTTGTTGAATAGTTTTGAAAGGATAAATGAAAGCTCCGAAGAATACTTCTGCAAGACTATAACAGGTATGCTGTCCAGGCCACAAGCTGTAGAAGAGTCTAAACAGGAAATCACTTTAGATACAGACGCTGAAGTGATACGAATGTCAAGCAATAGATCAACCCATTTGACGACTATATCAGATAGAACGCAACTAGTGGAAACAAGAAATGATATTGATGAAAAGTTCTTAGCAAACAGTTCAGCTTGTCTTTAGGTGAGGTGACAAAGTCTGAACCGTACAAAAGAGGTGGAATTACAGACTTGCCCTTATTATTGATACTTTTAATGATTCTCCAGAAGTCACAAGAGCCTAATTTTTGTGATCAAATATGAGATTTCATGACCTGAGAATAGGGGGCTTTGGCATCAGACAAAACCTTTTTACAATGGTTCCTAGCAGTAATAAACAGATATTTGTTTTAATGGAGAATTATTTTGCTGATAGATATGAAAGTAATGGTTTCGATTAGCAATTGCAGCAGCACAATGTGAGGAAAACCATGGAGAAAAGTGAGGCTTGACCTGGAATTGTCGAGAGGTAATAAAGGATTCCATGCCAGTCTGAATCCAGGAAGTTATGTAAGAAGCACATCTGTCAACAGGAAGATAAACAATTTCTACCCAAGGGCCATCACGAAGAAAATCACAGAAAGAGTCCCAGTCAGCTTTAAGGCAGTTTTAAGATGTACAATGATAGGGGGACTCTATTGATAAAGAAGAATGAGATAATAGTTTAAGAGAGATCAAACTGTGATCAGAGGCACCTTAGGGTGAATATGGAGAATCTAAGCACTGACTAGGATCAGAAACTAGACATAAGTCGAGAAGTAAAGTTAAATGATTGGGATTGTCTGGAAAGTGAATTGGAAAGTTGACTATTTGAGTTAGAGATTAAGAAAAGCAAAAGTTGTGGACTTTAATGCCTGCAGAGTCACTGACACTAGGGCCAAGTCATTCAGTGTGATGAACATTAAAGTCACCGAAAAAAGCAATATTGGCTGAAAGATAAAGAAACCAGAAAGAAAGAAGAGTGCATTCTTGAGATTAAGAAGAGCGATATAGAACAAAGATAAAGGTGATAGAGTGAAGTGGTGCTAAACGAAAGCACATAAAAGATTTGGATTCAAACCTAGTTTCCCAACAAATGGGTGTATTCTTAAGAATATAAATGCTCAGGCCAAGCATGTGACTATTGGAGTCTTTATGAATTATAGGAAGCTAATCATCAACACCAAGATCACTTGATGAGACAGCTGAACTCAAATTAGTCGCACAAAGAACAAGTAGGTCTGGTGAACTTTGCAAGAGATAAGACTCAACAGAAGAAAAATTACTTCAAAGACCACGAATATTAGATGATGACGATGGTTTTTTGTGTTTTATAGTTTTTGGTACTTTATTTATTTTTAAATTTGTTAAAGAACTCAACTCGAAACATAGATAGTACTTAGTACACTGTTTAATAGCCCAAGCAATTGCCTCATTACTATACAAAGTGTGTGTTTTATGTCGGAATTGGCATTTCCTAGCCTTTGCCTAAAAAGGCATATTCTACAAGGCAGCAGGACATGAAGCAGATTTTACTAGGTTAAATGTTACCAGTAGCAGGATAAACCTGACCTGACATTAACTTGTCTTGCTGCTTAGGTTCCATTTGAAAAATTTTGAATTTTATTCAGGTCATGTTCTTAAATGAGATTTGAAGCAATATAATTTCGTTCTTTGAAGTCGGCACTCTTTTGTGGAATTCTAAATTGATTAGATCTAAGCATTATTTCCAGATACACATATGAGACTTTACCCTTTAATTACCCATTATATTTGTATAGCCCTACAAATATAAATTCTAAAGAAAATGTGCAGAGAAACAAGTTGAGTGTAATATCACCAGTAATGCAATGGAATTTAAACTCCCTACCACAATTTAGATTTAAAATCAAGATAATAAAAAGGTTAAAAATAATTTATAAGCTAACCTTTAACTGTTAATTAAAATAATAAAACAAATAAACATACATAAACATTGTGGCATCGGGGTACTCCATACCACAGATCCATCTTCACTTTCTATGCATTCTGTAAAATCACGACCAACCATTTTGTAACCAGGATCACATTCATACCGACATATAGTACCATAAACAGGGTTGTTACAAACAGGACTGTTTTTAACAAACCCATTATTTATATTTCCACTTGGATTACAATGCTTGACTAAAAAATAATGTTCCTTTTTTATAAAAAAAAAATTAAAAAATTTTCAAAGGGATGATTTTTAAAGGAATTACAGTCCTTAGTAAAGGTGTATACAGTGCTATTAAAAAAGTATAACTAAAAGTTTTTTTTTTAATAATTTTTCAATTTGTCATAATAACTTGTTTCTTAAGGCTTGTTTAAAAGTTATCATAGTATAAAAAGTAAAAAAATATTGAACTAAATTTTAAAAATTAAAAATCAATTGTGTTAGTAGAAAATTATCAAACAAACTCAAAGTTGATAAAATAGTTGTGAAAAACAAACAAATAAAAAAAAGCTATTTATATTTTTCACTTAATGTTAAAAAGAACTTGTTATTGCAGAATTGTAACAATAACTGGACTGCCCCTCTTGCCCCCTCTTTTTTCCTCAGAATAGCCCCTCTTTTTCCCTCTGAACAGCCCCTCTTTTTCTCTCAGAATAGCAATGCTTATTTAGAGGTTTCAAATCTCATAACTTTATAAATCTTTTTACTTAAAAAAATGTACCTGGCTATTTTCAGGGGTGACAAATCCAATAAAATGATTAAAATTTATTATTAAGTAGCTGTATAACAAATTATGTAAAAAATTATTGTTAAGTACCTGTATTTATCAATTTAAATAAATTTAGGCAACTTTTTTTTTTTAATGCCTGAGAAACTCATGTGGTCTTGATGATATCAAAAAAAAAGTTTACACATTCTAAATTTATTTACCTTTTAGAAAAAAAACAGATTATGATCTGTAAGTATATGAATGATTATATGAATGAAGTATATGGATTTCTGTATATACGGACCCCTTTTTATAGCAGAATATTGTGATTCATTTTTCTTTACCTTCCAGACTAGCTAGAGCTCTGAAACTTTTAGGATTTTTAAAGTGTTGATAAACCTGCATATTGAATTGTTTCCAGGGCTCAAGACACTGAGAGGGAGCTGGATTATGTGCCCTACTTTTTTTTAGCAGAATCTTGCAACAGATTTTTGACATTCCAGACAAACTGGAGCTCTGAAAATTTCAGCATTTATTTATTCCTGATAAACATGTGTTAAAATTGTTTCCAGGGCAGACTACTAGAGGTTCCAAGGTGGCTGGGGCACAAGGGCCTAAGCCCCACTTATTTAATTTAGAAAATTTTTTTTACCAATTTTAATAAAGTAAAGATAAAAAAAATTGCCTTTAAAATTTTTTTTGGTTTATACTTGTTCTGTTTCATTTAAATATTTACAAAATAAAACAAAAAAATAAAAAGTCATTTGTTGTTACAGGTACATCAATAATACAAATTGTGTTGGTAAATAAAACCCAAAATTCATCTGCTCTAGATGGCCAGAAAAGTTTGTTAAAAGAGTCATTCGGGTTCATAAATGTTGCCATAACATCTTTAACAGATGATAAATTTTAACAATCTGCCATCATCATAAAAAGATTTTATTATGATAAATTTAATTTATCACACCAATTCAATGAAATGTACCAACATTTATACTGAATAAACGCAGTAAATTTCAATTTATTTATTTTAGTTTGCTGATTAGTGTGAGGACGTTAAATACCATAAAAAAATACTTTTTATATTAACATTCCAGCTTGAATGATTTCTTTTATCTTTTTTTGAATTTAAAAGATAATTTTTTGTCTCTTTGACAAAGATGTTTAATTGGGTAATGCGGTAGTGGTGCACCACTTACAGTGCCTCATAAAGCAAGAAGTTCCAAGTTCCCAACCCCACCATGTCAATTGTAGTACTGCACTCAACATGTTTTTCCACGCACCAGTCTCATTTGTTAAGGTTTGTGTTTTGGAGTTATAGAGTTGAGAGAAGATTGTAACCAACTAAAAATAGCCTTAACTGTAGTGGCCTTCATGGCCTTATGGAGGTGAATTAAAAATAAAAAATAAAATTGTAATAAGTTTGTTAATGTTAAAAATGTTATTTATAAATTCAATAGGCAATAAATCTTTACTATACTAGTGTAACGACAGGTTGTTTTTTTGTTAATCTCAATAGTTCTTAATGAATATAACAACTCGATGTTAACATTTTAGAACTAAATATCAGTTAAAATAATGATCTTAAAAGGTGATAATTTTCCTTTTTATTGATGTAATGTTATGGCAGGATGTCATTTTTTTTCTTTTTCACTGTTGGACTTTAGTTAGTTAAACAACTTGGTGTTAACATTTTAGCATTAAAAAGTATTTTTTCAATTAAAAAATACTTTTTTAATTAAAAAGTATTTTTTCAATTAAAAAGTATTTTTTCAATTTTCAATAAAAATAACTTTTTTCAATTCAAAAGGTTTAAAATTATAAAGTGTTAAATTCTGTCAAAATCGTTACTTTAGATGGATGAATGTTTTTAATTTGTATACTTGCAAATCAAAATTTTTATAAACATGGATTTTCTTGAAATATTTTAAAAAAGATCATTGAATAGAGAATGATCAAAAACTGAATGAAAAAAGTATAAACCAAAAGATTTTTTGAAGACCTTATTTTCAAAGTTATCTTTACTTTGTTAAAATTAAAAAAAAAATTGTAAGTGGGGTACGACCCACTTTTTAAAAATTTTTAAACAGGACTACAAAAATGCTGAAATTTGAAGATTCTGCTTAAAAAATGGATCACAAGATTCAAACCCATCTCTGGTGTTTTGGGACCTGAAAACAATATTATCTACGTTTATTAGCACTTTAGAAATCCCAAAAGTTTCAGAGCTCCAGCTAGTCTGAAAGGTAGTGAAAATCAATTGCAATTTCCTCCACAAAAAAGTGAGGAACTGCCTTGTTATCCATATATGGAAATCCATATAATTGCAAATCAAAACCCTTATGCTTTTTAAAAAATCAATAAATATAAAATGATTTGTAAAATATATATATATATTATGATATCATCAGGGCCACATGGGTTACTTGAGCATCAAAGTCAGGTATTTAAAAAATTGCCTAAATTAATTTAAATTGATAAATACAGGTACTTAAAATTCTTTACCCCTGAAAATAGGCAGGTACAAATTTTCAAAAGTAAAAAGATTTTTAAAGTTATGTAACGTGAAACCTCTAAATATATGTTACAATTCTGAGGGGACAAGAGGGGCCTGGGTAATATCTACTAAACGTAAAATGATCATATTTCTGGATCTTCTCAGAGCTAGAAGCCAAAGTTTTCAAGGAATTCTTATTTTACAAAGTTCTCTTAACTGTATAAAAATCAGCAAAATTTGAGATATAGGGTGACATTTTTAAAATTTTCTGGGTCATTTGACATGAAATTACTCTATAAATTTAGTAAAACAAGTATTAAGTAAAAACTTTTATTTTACTTAACATAAACAGTGTAGTAAAAGTGTGTTATATATAAAAAAATTTGATAGTTCTTTTTTTTTATGACATTTATTAGAATCATTTAAAAGAAAGTTTGCTTTTTTCTTCAATTTTTTTTAATTTTTTGTCTATTAACTGCTAACTAATAAATAGCTAGAGACAAAATTAGACAATAAAGAAATGATCATAATGTTTCCAATAGTGAATTATCCATCTTTAAATTGAATTTACAAGTACTACAAAAAGATTTCAAAATTCAGTTCTTCAAGTTACAGGAAGAAAATGATGTTTATTTTTTGTTAAAATGAAATGCACGCAGATCTTTTGATCCAAATTTTTATTTTTACAAGTGCAATTGAACACGGCCAAATTAAATCTCATATAATAGTTTATGATTTACAAGTATACAAAGTTATCTGATGTAAAAAACATATTGGAGACTATTGGAAAACAAATGAATAAAATAAAGGTAATATTAATAATGAGGCAGTAACATCTGCAAAATATAAAAATAAAAAATATATAGATATAGTTAAGTTATATAGCATACTATTGCTAGCTGATTAGACTACCCCAATCATTTTATAACAAATATTTTACAAACCATTACTTAAAAAGTTTACAACAGTGGTCTAGACCCAAACATTCAATATCTTAATAAAAACTGTGTCAACTATAAAAATAAAATTTTTATCATTTCTAAACACAAACTAAAAAACTAACAATAGATTTGCATTGGTCAGATACACAACTATCAAAGCTGATAGTTGCAGTTACATATAAAACTGAGTGTTCCATATAAAGCTGAGAGTTGCATATAAAGCTGAGAGTTGCATATAAAACTGAGAGTTGCATATAAAACTGAGAGAAAAAAACTTTATTTTTTTCATCAAAATATTAATTTCAATATACTTGTTTATAATATATCAAAAAAATTTATATATATATATATATATATATATATTATATATATATATATATATATATATATTATTATTATTATTATTATTATTATTATTATTATTATTATTATTATTCTGAATTTTTTTAATAATAAAAATAAATTATCATTGAGTGACAACAAGAAGAATCCTATGTTTACTTAATTTCAAGGACAACAGTTCTATTTTTGCTTTGTTTCAGCTGGGGTAAAATATTTCTTTGTTGAAATTCGGTTTATTTTATGCAATATTTTAAGAACAGTAAGTTGTTTAAGTAAATATATTTGTATTAAATGAACATTTCTGAATATAAACTAAATACTCAAAACTTTGTTTTCAATTTTATATGCGTACTCAAGCAGAATGATGCAATTCAGAATGAACTCAGTTACGCTTGCAACATTCATGCAACCCTCAGTTACAATGAAGTTTGCCACTTTTTGGTAACTGAGTATAACAAACAATTGAATTTAAATTGTTTTTGAAACATAAAATTTGTTGTGGAAAACAATAAAGTACATGTTTTGTATAATGGCTGTTGTGTTGTGGAAAACAATAAAGTACATGTTTTGTATAATGGCTTAATTTAATACTTTATTTTAAAAAAAAAAATTGAACTGAAAAATGTTACTTTTGCATGGGTCCAAATCCATTTTATTTAGACCTGGGGTGCCACTGTAACCAACATTGCATTTGCATTCTGAGATGGTCATAGCTGGAATATTCCTTTCAACAGTATGTGAATTTTTCGGACATGGTTTGCATTTTTCTGTTATATAGCCACGTTTATCTCCATATGTGTCTTTTGGACATCCTAATATTAAAAAAATAAGATTAAAAAATTATTTTTATTCTTTTATTTAAAACTTTGTATTCTATTTATACTTTATTATTAGGATAATTTTCTTATAAAATGAATTTAAGTATAAATTTAACATTAGAAAATGGTTGTTGAATAAAAAAGTAAAAAATTTCAAAACTGTAAAAGAATTCAACAAAAAAATTTTTGTAAAAGAAAATCTATCCCTAAATCATTAGCATAGTCTAAAAGCTAAATAAAATTGTATCAAGAACACTCTAAGTCTAAAGAACACTATAAGTCTATGATAAAAAACACAGGTCTATGATTAAGTTGCATGTGGTACTAGTAGTTGAACACTCAGCTCACATTTAAGAGATTTAAATCCACCCTATCCTACAATCAAGTTGTTTTACAAATCCATCTGATGCCTTTGGAAATATCACGCTCAACTTATTTCTCTGCTACCTTGTTTAACTATGTTCTTGTTTATGAGAGACTTGCATTTAAATCAAATTATATTCTAAAGAATGAGTTTGACTGACAAGTCAAGCTTATTGAAAACTATCAAATGAACTATTAAATGTAAGTAATTATCAACCAAAATCTGTTCTCTCTAAAATTTAGAACCACGTTCAACCAAATATTCAATTATCTTGCTAAATAGCATATTTTAGAATAACCAATATAGCTAACAAACTACTTAAAATGCAGTAATTCCACTTAATCGAAGAATAATTGGTTCCTTTGAAAAGTCAGAAAATCCCAAGCATTATTATTTTTTATTATAAAAACAAGACTTCCCTCTCGAACGTAAAGTGGTCTCCCCTATAACCTTGGAGAGATAAACTTATTTAAAAAAAATAATAACAATGCTATTATCATCTGAATTTTAAAAAAAACTTTTTTTTAGTAATAATAATTTTTAGTTTTCAGTAGTAAACTAGATGTGTTTTAAAAGATTTTATTATTTTAAACAAAAGATTTACGAAATTGCATATAAAAATTAGGAAATAAATTAGGAAAATACAGCGATGAAAGAAAATTCTAGTAAAAACAAGAGTTAGTGTGTGGAACTATCACTGCGAAGGCTCACTTGACTAAAGTCAAGAAATTGCATTTTAAGATGTAGAAACATGGTGGTACCTTTAGAAAAAAGAAATAGATACAAACTTACAATGAAACAGAAGTTTAAGTTTGGCTGCTAGAGCACACTTAACAGAGAATCAATATTCATATAAACCTTTATTTTTAACTATCTTTATTTTTAATAAATAAAAAAAAGATCTGAGAAAACACATTGCATAAGAAATATGCAAAAAAATTAAAAACATAAAAAATTGTGATCTATTGCTTAGTTACTAATGGTATTGATGATAGTGGTAGTGATGATTGTGATAGTGATGATAGTGGTAGTGATGATAGTGGTAGTGATGATTGTGATGATAGTAATAGTGATGAAAGTGGTAGTGATGATTGTGATAGTGGTCATTGTGGTTGTGGTTATTGTAGTAGTGGTAATTGTGGTAGTGGTAATAGTGGTATTATTGATTGTGGTTAAAGTGGTTATTGCTAGTGGTAAAACAAATACTTACTTAAGCAAGTATTTGTATTTATATTTTTCTCTGCAGTACCATACCATCCCCGTTGACAAACACATCGATAATCCCCTGATAAAAGGTTACAACCACATTCTGCATATTCATCACATTCACCGCATAGACTATGTGAAACAGCCATAGTTTCATAATCATGTTCATAAGGATCTAAAAAAAAAGAGTTTCATAAAATTTCACTTTCGCATTTTCTTTTTTATTGAACTTTTTTATGTAAATTTTTTAACTTTTATTTTTCTGTTATATTTCTTTATTTTGACTTCTAAAGCAGAATCCATTATTAAAAAAAAAATTTGCAACTTAATAAAGTGATCTTAAAAGAAAAAAAGTTGACACATGTCATAATGGTTTTACCATTATATATACATATATAAATATAGATACATAAATATTATAATACATAAATATTATAATATATATATATGTATATATATATATATATATATATATATATATATATATATATATATATACATATATATACATATATATATATATATATATATACATATATAAATATATAAATATATATATATATATATATATATATATATATATATATATATATATATATATATATATATATATATATATATAAACTAGTTTCTTTGCGCAGCATCCTTTTTTGTCAAGATTCGTATTTTAAAGATATAGAATTAAAAGAGGGTTGTAAGTACAAAATAATAAAAATATTAACAAAATAAAATTTAGATCCACCATACAATAGTGTACATAAGGCACACTTGTACACAAGTTACTGAAGTGCTGGAGGTTTGAAAAACAGAACCTTTTTTCAAGAAACCAGTTTGTTGTGCTTTAATCTAAACACTTATTAGAGTTGATATTACTATGATAGATGGCAAGGTAGCCACTGCACTTTACAGCTACTAATTCCAGTCAATACTGTTCAACTTCTGATTCAACATCTAGTCAAACAAACTAACTTTATATTATTTTCAGTTTGCCATCAACTCTAAACAGGTTAAAGTATGTCAATACTTCAAGTATGTATTTAGAGAATGAAGTATTTGTCTAAAGTCAACTATGAAGCTAAAGTAAATGAATGGATATATAGATTTGCTGCAAATAAAGTCAAAGAAAAAAAGAATTAAATTCAATCTAAATTCAGAAATAGGAACTGGTAATTAGTTTTACTTAGTTTAGTGGTTCTGGTAATTTTAATTTTACTCAACAATTTTTTTGAAAAGCAAAACAAATAGTAATTGTTGATGTTGATTCAAAAAAAATCTTTGTTAATGTTAATTTAAAAAATTTCACATTGTGAAATGTATATTTTATATGGTTTCATGGTTGATGTTGAGTAATTTAAAGATTTTCTAGTCACAGCACAACTGTTTTTACAACTTTATCCCTGATAAAAAATCCTCAGAGCTTGCATTAAATTTTTATATAAAGAGGGAGGATGTTAATCAGATTGCATTACCAATTGGATAATAAGTGAAAAACCTAAGAAATACATAATAAAGAATATAAAAGTTTGACGAGCTTTATTAAAGTGTTCACATTCAAAGAAGACCTTTTATGACATTTTTACCATAACTAAAGCACGCTAATAAAAAAAACTTTCTAGATAGTGTTGTCTAACTCCTTAAAGAATGACTATCATTTTGTAAATATTATAAAGAATTCTGCACAACTTAGGGCATTTTACTTTGATAGATAAATGTTCATGCTCGGACCTTTATTATAAATAAATATTTAATGAAAATATTTTGACCTACCCCTTACTAAGCTTTTTTTATTCGTAAAACAGTGTTTAAGCTTGTAGAATACAGTGGTATTATTAAAAATTTCAACAAAATCTGTTAATTCATTTTATCTTTAAGGGTGACTGCCCAACTAACTGTCCTCTTTTAGCCTAAACTTTAGGCCAACCGTCCTCCTTTAGGCTAAAGGAGGACGGTTGATCACCCTAAACAAAAGGTAGAACATGTCCTCTTAAAGTTTAGAACGATATGTCTTTTTCTTTTGCCAGTTGTCCTTGGTCCTCCTCTTTGAGTCAAAATTTATTAAATCTCCTTCTTCTAGTATTTACTTTCACTAAAAAGTTTTTAGCTTGATAACCAGCCCACTATATAATTCATTTTGAATTGAATTCACCTTTTTAGTTTTGTTCTGTTTAAACCCAGCGCATGATTGGTCTCTTAAATACAAATCTGATTGATTCGAACGTATGATATTTAAATATCATACGTTCGAATCAATCAGATTTGTATTTAAGTATTAAATTTCGAATGTTCAAAACTTTCATTCGAATAGGGAAGAAATATTTCTTCCCTATTCGAATGAAAGTTTTGAACATTCGAAATTTATGACCTTTTTGCGCTAAAATTCTTATTTTCGCGTTAGGAAGCATCCATAAAGTACGTAAGCAGTAGAACCACTGATTTAGGATCCTGAATAAAAACAAACCCTCTCCCAAGGACGGATCCATAGGTAGGGCAAAGAGGGCCACCCCCTTCCCCCTTTGGATTTATTAAATTTCTTTTTATATATATATATATATATATATAATATATATATATATATATATATATATATATATATATATATATATATATATATATATATATATTTCTATAAATTTAACACCGCATATTGCTTGAAAAAGAAAAAATTAATTTAAATAGGGTGTTTAAAAAAAAAACGCAATTTTAATGAAATTAGAAAATTCAAACTTTTGTCTTTTTAAATTTGCCTTTCTCCCTTTCCCACACCCTTACCAGATGTTTTGGATCCATTAAAACAAAAAAACCTAAATATCACCTCCCCCTCCTAACTAGATGGTTTTATCTGCCCCTACCTTCCCCCTTGTACTTACCAGTATCCTATAAATGACCCCCTATGCGTAAGTGCGCATTAAAAAAGTTGCATAGGGTAAAAAAAACAAAGTGTTTGCCATGCGATCTAGTCTTCATGCAGATCAAAAAAAACATGTAGATCAAAAATTAATTGCTGGAAATTTTTAAAATCATATTTTAAAAAAACTCTCTGTTCTCTTTATAACCTTTATTGTTTACATGTACAGTGGCCATATGGCCACTATCAATTTCCAGAGTTTTGTATTCTGTTGATAACGCATTATATATGATACCGTTATTTGTTTAACGGTATCATATAATACCCTTTAACGGTATATAATACCGTTATTTTATTACTCAGGATTTTCGACATGTTTTGGTACTGTATTGCTCATTGTGAATTAATAAAGTTTTATTAATGCTGCCATTTGGTTATTATCCAATTTTGTATTTTTTAAAGGTTATAAAACTTGTGATACCAGTAGTTTATGAAAATTAATTCATAAAATCGTTATTCTGCCATCATAAACTTGTTGGTAGCCATATGGCTATCCTGACCAGAACTGGAAAAATTTTGGATATATATATATATATATATATATATATATATATATATATATATATATATATATATATATATATATATATATATATATATATATATATATATATATATATTGGATTATTTATATTGGATATTATTTAAATATTTATATTGGATTAAGTCTGAAACGGCAAGTTAGCAACTCAAAAAGTATTTAAAGGATAAAAATATTTGCATAGAAGAGGAAAAAATTTCTTTTCCGCACTCTGGAAAATAACCGTAAATGTTTTGGTCTGAAAAACTTGATTTTTGGCCAAAATTAAAATTTTGATGTTTGTAAGTTTATCCTCCGCCAGCTAATTGCCTTGTGGAGGGCACATTACCTCGGTCCACAGAGACTTGTTCCGGCTCCTAAAGGAGCGTCATAACCCGCTCTACGGAGTAAGAGTAAAGTGAGTTTGGGAAGAACGAAGATATGTTAGAGTGAAAGGCAGAAGTAGTCGAGTTAGAAAGATAGCATAGAGAAAGCAGACAGAATTGTACACGATGTTAGAAGATGCAGTAGTACTTTTAGTCGAACAGACTAAGACTTGAAGAGTTCACTTGACTTGAGTTCCTCAACTTTCTTTGTCGTCTTTAGATGTTTGTACAATTTTGATGTCTGTTCAGATATCGTGTAAGCGTTCCAGTCAAGAATTTAAAAATAAGTTTTTATTTTTATGCTTGTGGTCTCATAATATATCGAATATATATATATATATATATATATATATATATATATATATATATATATATATATATATATATATATATATATATATATATATATATATATACATATATATATATATATATATATATATATATATATATATATATATATATATATATATATATATATACATATATAAATGGGCTGCAGCAAGGGAGAGGAGGTTAAAAGCAACCCTACCACCACCAACCCCTCCTACTAAAAATTAAAATTTGTATATCAAGCCAAAACTAAATATTTTAGTTTAAAATTGTAGGTGATGATTTCCGTTTCTTTTTCACATGTTTTCATCAATATTTTTGAATAATAAATAATAAAAATCAGACGCGAAAAATCCTAAAACTTATCATAAATTGGGTATTTTTTTTTTAATGAAAAGCTACTATATTATTTTCAATTTAATAATCAATCTAAAGATATATAAGTCAATACATTAAATTAAAAACCATAATATAAAAGGTATGCGTACAATACTGAATAATGACATGATTAAAAATGTGGTATAAAAACAACACAAATATAGTGTCAATACGGTATGGTTTGCGTCAATACGGTATGGTTTGCGTCAATACGGTATGGTTTGCGTCAATACGATATGGTTTGCAATAAATATTAGTTTCTTTATTTTAACTATTTGCAGCTGATTTTTTTAGGAATTATTAAACGATAATAGATGTTCAAAATATACTATATAAATATAATATTTTAATTGCGGACTTAGCGTTTTACATAGATTTTAAATTTACCAAAATATGCATTTTTTCAAGAATTTTCATTTTGTTAAATATATGGAATATATTATAAAAATAAAAAAAATGAATATTTGAACTACTTTTAACAAATTAGGTAGCAAATACGGCTGTATAAAGAAAAAAAAAATGTTTTTGAACATGTATTTATAGAAATAATACAAAAATAGTGACACTTGTCTTTTTTATAACATAAAAAAAGGAGCTTTAAAGTTGGTATAAATAATTTTATTTGCAGCTGATTTTTTTTTTTTTTAAATCAGCTGCAATCAAAATCATATCGATCAAGTTCATGCATGCGGACATAAGTTTTGTGAAGGAGTTGAAATTGAAAAAAAAACTTTTATTTTATCCTAGTTTCAAACATAACTTACTTATTTTACTTTATTTACTTAGTTACAAACATAACTAACTTAAGCACATATACAATAATAAAAAATTATTATTATAAATTAAACTCTATTCTATAAAATTTGTTTAAAAAAAAATGTATACATATCTGCATATAGTTTTAAATTTATACACAAATGAAAAAATGTTGTATTTTTTAAAGAAATTATTCATTGGTTTTTAATCGCTCTTGGATATACGGCTATTGACTTTTCTTTCAAGAAAAATTACGAAACCTATATATTTTTGAATTGTCTGGACAATGTTGTATTTAAAAATAATAAAAATAAAAAAAACTACAGACTTTTTTTTTTTTAATTTTAGCCAAAAATCAAATTTTTCAGACCACTGTGCAATAGCGGGTTTTAGGGAGGGGGTATGCCTCTCCCCCTCCTCTTTAAAACCCACACTGTGGTAGAACCCCCCTTACCTTTGGGACTTTTTTTCAGAATTTTTTTTTTGAAAATCGAATATTATACAGAATTGGACTAATATACTGACGAATGAAATTGACTACTATACGTAGTTACAAGTATATGAACTTGATTATTACACTAAAGTACAAAAAATTAAAAAAGATAGTTACTTATAAATGAAAATATGCAGACCTTTTTTTTTTTTTTAAGACCTCTAAGCCTTCTACTTGGTGAGTGACAAAACCCGCCCCTGCTTTATTGTAATGTAGAAATTTTAGCTAATTTAATTAATAAGATTTTTTAATGGTTTTGTTTACTAATAATTAATAGAACTATAAAATGAGCTAGAAAATTAAAAATCTTAAAGTTCATCGATATTTTGGCAGTCACCCTACGTTTCATTTTTATAAATGATTTGGAGCTTAGGTGTCTATAAAAATGATTTACTATAATCAGGTGCGGATACGTGCGGTTTCCAAAATTATAGATAAAAAAGTGATAAAAGTCAGAAAACTGAAAACCGCTTTTTTTCTTGGTTTCAGATTATATCTGTTTATAACAATAGTTTCGAAGCTGAATCACATAAAAATAATGAGAAAAAATTTTACATAAAAATAATATATAAGAGAAAAAATTTTATCACTGAAACAAATTTACAGTAGAAATTAAATACTTTGGTTACTTTTTAAAATGACAACTTTTAAGTGTTCGAAACGTAAACTGTTACTTTCCTATATTAAGGTCAATTGAGACACTTTCAACGATTTTAAAAGAAAATTATTAAGTTTTTCAGGACAGCTTGTGTTTCATCATTAGTGATATTCAAAGGGCTCGATAGCTCAGTTGGTTAGAGCGTAAAACGAAAATTATAAACCCGGACTGTTGTAAGATACGAGTTCAAATCCTGCCACCGCCAACTCAGCGCTTGAGTTGTACTTCGGTACGCAAAAATGTTGATCAATAACGGACGCTACTATGGATTAGTCTTAATGACTATTTGTGGCTGTTCCTATGCTAAGCTAACAAAAAAGGTACATTATTCCGTTGTTTAATAAATGATGGACCGAGGCGTGACGGAAAGTAGAAGCTTTTTATCTAAAAACCATATTCAGAATCTAACCAAATACTGTTGTTAACAGTATTTGGTTAGATTCTGAATATGGTTTTTACCGAAATATAAAAACGCAATAACAGACCCCACGCCATCTACATCATTTGAAAACACGATAGACCGTGCATGTCTCATGAAGATTTGTCAGAGACCAGCAAAAAAAGAAAAAGTTCTACATTAGTTAAGTAAATTTGATTCGAACACATCTTTAATGTATATCTTCAAACATTACGTTCAATTGGAGAAGAAACAGAAGCAAAGCTTGTGGAAGCATTAAGGATTGCCAAAAAAGTAAAATAGATTTTTTGTCTCCAGTTTTATGGAAAACATAAATGTTTTACTGACGTATGAAGAAGCACTCAGCGTGTTTGTTGATTTAGATCTAACTAAAACACAATATTTATACTTGAGGAAGTTGACAACAAAAAAACTGTTCTTTATTCCCATCATATTACAAACTGCAAGAAATTAAACAGACCTGCTATACAACATCTTCTGAAATTGAAAATACGAACAGACTTGCAAAAATTATGAAACTGCAAGATTTATTGGATCACACTGTAAATAGAATTTTGACTATAGATTCCGTAAACAATAACAAATGTAAACATTTAACTTTGTATAGTAAATGGGGTTGTTATGGCTCCTCTGGAAGCAAGAACAAGCAGAAACTTCCAGAGGAATCTGAACTTATATCTGATGCAAATTTATTTATTAGTTTTTTGTTACCGATCAGATAAGGTGATGAGGTAACTGGCACAGTTGTTTAGTAAAATCCGACTCCTTTGTCTGTTCGTTTATGTCGACCTATATGCATAGAATTATGCAAAGAGACTCCTGAGAAAACTAAGGTTGTTGAACATGAAATAAAAAACCAAATAAACTCTTTACGGCCACCTATAATTAACAAAGTTGTATACAAGTGGAACATGACCTTTTTTGGATTCGGTGTATGGAAATGATATTACATATTTTCTATACCTTTCCAAACATGGTCAGATAAAAGTTAAGGAAAAAAAAAAAAAAAGAGAAGAAGACCTTGTACAGAAACGTTTTTGTGAGCAGCTAGGGTTAATCGTGGACAAACCAAAACAAGTAAGTGGTAATATAATACCAATGATGGTAATATTGCTATGAGATTAAAGCTATCTCCTCAGGTTTTATGAATGCTATTATACTGTTTTTGCAAAACTAATTAAAAAAACTTGATTAAAACTTAACTATTTAATCACGACTTTGTTTTACTTGAAAATCGAAATAAATATTCTAAAGTTGTTGTGACGTACTAACGTGATTTTTAACGACTAACAATCGAGTTTCAATAATGAAAAAATAAAATCAAAATGGAGTTGTTTTTTAGTGATTTCGGCAATTGCTTTTTGTTAGCATGCATTTATTATTACAATTTAGTGAAAAAGAAAAAAAACTTACATATTTTTTTTTTATGCTCTTTCATATGTGATCATATGTTAGGAGCACTTAGGGATCCCTTTAATAAATTATTCTGAATATTTCTATAATAAGTATTTTATAAACTATTGAAAATATTCATGTAAATGTTGAAATGTATGCAAATTAAGTAATTACACGCAACAATTAAAAAATCAAATTAATAAAGCAATTAAACCTAGTATAAGGAAAATGTTTGTTAAAAAGTACGTGTTTGTTTTTTGTCTAGATTTTAGCCGAAAGCTCGTATAAATGTTTTTTCAAATAGGTTTCAAAATTGTTTTTTCAAATAGTAAAATGTTTTTTTCAAATTTCATATATATAAAAATTTAATATGAATATACTTTCCAATTAAATAAATATTTTATGTATTTTTTGCTGTTTCGAATACTTTCAAAGTTTTTCATATCATTAAAATGAACATGTTTAGTTAAATAAAAAACAGACCTTTATTTTCCTCAGTTGGTTAATTTGCAAAAAATTAATAAAGACCACCTATCAAAAGAGATTGTTGGTATTGACAAAAAAAATGGTTGCAATATTTCAAGACTATAAAGGTAGCAGACAAGTATTCAAGAAGTCTAAAGATGGTCTAATAAATATTTGTAATACCAGGTCACAATGTTTATTTTTATGGAATAAAATTAGACGGTTATTAGTGGTGCTAATGTTTCAGAAAAGCAAAATAATTTTTTATTTTGCTTTGCTGAAACATTTTTTTTTTCAAAGTGGTTATTCCGACTAAACATAGTTATATAAATTAAGATACCCTCTTTAGTTTATGTAACAATTCAACATGTTAATGTTAGTGCAGATTTGTTAACGTTGGCGCAGAATATTTGCGTGCAAGAGAATAATTATTCCATTACTCTCATATTTTTTATACTCACTGATATTCTTCTCTTTACGAAAAAAACGTGTTAGAAATCTAAATTCCCGATGTCACCCGATGTCTTTTTTTCGACGACTAATTTTTATTTCCAACAAAAACCCGATGTCGATCTGACGTTGTCCCTGATCGGTAAGCGATAATGAAACTTTGTTACCCCTAATCAAAAAGACGTCGAAAATTGACTGACGTTATTTTGACGTTGCTTTGAACAGTGTAAAACCTAAGGTTTTATTGCAATAAAATCCAGAGTTCAAAGGGATTTTAGTACAAATAAAGTATAGTTCTAATTTTAATTTGTTCTTGGATTGTCGCGAAAAGCTATTGTTAAAGTGTTTGTTAAACCTAAAAACTAAAGAAAGGAAGTGAAATTTTAAATGCATTGTAGTTGTTGTCATTGTTAAAAAACATACCTCCCCTAATGTTGTGAGCGAGATTACCAAGATCAGTAAAATCTTTAGAAAACAAAAAAAGATTTTTTTCTGTAGCTAATCCCTCCAATACCGCTCTATCTGGAGCCGACGTTACGCCAATTGTATATACTTCAACCAAGCCTAAACGAAGATTGTGGGCAATGTCATGTGGATTTCTTGCCAATCCATCATTATGCGTAACACCACGACCATTCGGATTATCCATAACATTTCCTTCACCGTCGCTTAAAAGTATAACTACTCTGTTTGTTTTATGTCTTTTTTTATGTGTGTCTGGATTGCTATCAAGCTCTCGAAAAATGTTTAACGAATCTTGAAGAGCACCTCTTAAATTTGTCATTCCTCCGTATATACGAATTTTTTCAAAATCTTTTTTAAATTTACATTTATGCATAGAATAGTCTGGTCTCAAAATAAAGTTAATATCTATTTTATGATTCGTCCCAAAGGTACCAATTGCAATTCGAGTGGCGTTAAATGAAATGTGTACTTTACTCAACAATGCGTTAATAAATGTTTTTCCAATATCGAACCCAGTCATTGTTACTCCTTGGAAAGATCCAGTCGAGTACATACTTCCTGAACTATCTAAAAGAATAACTAAATCGGATGCTCCGTGTTCAACCTCATTTGACCAACAATTCATAAACTCCAATTGTGTATCAGGAATTGGGCCTGTTAATGGCCTCTTGTTTATACAACGTTTTTGTCCTCCAATAAAATTGATAATAAGAAACCCCAAAAAAACAACAGTTTGGAAAAACATCTTCAATTTCTAATAAACTTCATTAAAATAAAATAAACGGCAGTTTTTATGATTGTATATTTTATTATGTTTGTTCAGATTTTGATCTGAATAAATGTTTCATAACTAAAGAAACTGTTTTTTTTTTATATATTTTGTTTAAACTGCGCTATATTTAACATTTTACCCATCTAAATTTTCTCTTAATACGTGTTTAAAAATGAAGTTATGAATTACTATTATTACGTTTCAAAATGTTCTTTTCCACGGGTCGTAAAAACATTAACTGTTTAAGAGCTTAAAAAGGATTTTTACGCCCTCCCCCGAAAAAAGTTTAGTTCTGTTATTATTAGCTTAGCTCTTAAAGAATTTAGTTATGGAAAACTTTTACGGATCAGTTTGAGAAATATAGATGCAACTTTTGAATTATTAATTACTATGCCAATCTTTTTTTCTGTTATAATAAAAATTTTAATATAAAGCCTCACTTTACTAGAAATTTTGCTGGTTTATTTGAATAGTCCTAATATACACTCGGTGTTTTCAAAGACTTATCTAAATCTATGATTTTGATTAAAAAGATTCAATTCTTAACAAAAGCTAAAATATTAAAAAATCACTGATAGTTTTAATGTTACTAAAAGATTATTTAATCAGTTATGAAAAACTTTTGCCATCCGATGCTTTTTCATTTACAAGTAAATATTATGAAACCTTTACAAACCTTTGAAATTTATGTCATTTATACGTACGTCCTCATAACCTTATAAACAGTCAGTATTACTAATTTATTATTGTTGTTTCAAGTCCGTTCTATATGCGTGTTATTTTATTGATATCATTTAGGCATTGAAAAGATCACGCTGGAACGGCAACTTCTAACAATATTCAGATAAAAGTAGTGCGAAACTTCAAAGAGTTTAACTACAAGATTTAATTTCTGCAATTATTCGAGCATTATGTTTGCTGCTGGTTTTTTGCTTCTCATTTTGGAACTTGATTTCAATATTGATTCAATATTAGAACACTTATTCGGAAACATTAAATTTTGTATGTTTTTAGTTGTTCTTTAGTTGTTATTCACGAACAATTAGTTTACAATCGTAAATATATAGAATTTTAAAATAAGTCGGATAATGAAGATTAATGTTTTATACAGAACAAAAAAATGTAACGTGCTCCCGCTGTCTAAATATTTGCAGGAAAAACCAGCATTGAAAAAAAATGTGCTTTACATGAGGAAAAAACAGAGTTGGAAAAAGTTACGTTTTGTGGATAATGGGTTTTAAATATAAAATTAGATAAACGTATTACAAATTTACTCTTGATATATTAATAAATTATAATTATCTGGAAACATTAAACTTTGCATGCTTTTAGGTGTTTTTTAGTTGGAATTCACCGATAATTAGTTTACATTTGTAAATATATACAATTTTAAGATAAGTTGGATAATGAATTACACTCTCGTTTATCTGCATATTGTTTGTACTTGTGTGAAAAGCATGTATTTAAATAAGACAAATACAGTTAAAAAGTATTTTTTGTAAAGTTTTTTTATAAAAGTCTCTAGAAGTCAGTGACAAATCCAGGAATTTTTAGTGGTGATAGTTAGGGGAGTGAGGGATGTTAATATATTTTTGTGTTTTGTACCACATTTGCGTCTCCTAAAAACAAAAAAGGTCCTCACTGGATCCGTCACTCCTATAAGTCTTTAGTTTGAAAACTTCTACGGAAAGTTATTTTACAAAGAAGAAAAATTTTGTTTTACAAAAAAAAGATAAAAAATAACAAAATTATAAAAAGTGTGAAAAATAAGTTTTTCTTTACAACCAACAAATATAATAATTATAAATATAATAAACATGTTTTTTGAGTATGAAATAGACAAAAAAGGTAACAAATAGCAAAAAGCAAAAAAAATTAAATAAGATAAAGTCATTAAATTCCGTCAAGTTTTTTAAAAAAAAGTTTATTTTTTACCCTAAAAAAGTAACCATTTCCAAATAAGCATCGAATTTTATACGTTAATTTTTATCTTTGTTATCTTTTAAGACGAGAAGTTCTTACTATTAAATATACTACTTAATTATACTATAAAAACTTAATTATACTATAAAAAACCTAATTATACTATAAAAACTAAATTATACTATAAAAACTTAATTATACTATAAAAAACTTAATTATACTATAAAAAACTTAATTATACTATAAATATTTGATTATACTATAAAAAACTTAATTATACTATAAAAACTTAATACTATAAATACTTAATTATACTATAAATACTTTATAGTATATAAAGTATTTATAGTATAATTAACTCTCGTCTTTTTATAGTAAATTATACTATAAAAAGACGAGAGGTTATCATTCTTACTCTTTAAAGAAAGATCTCCTAGATTAGTATAATCCGAAAGTTTAAAGATTTTTCTGAGAGTGAAGATATAATATAATAAAAAGTTGGTTTCAAAATATGAAAACACAGTACTAATTCTTGCAAAAAAGTTTTTTTTTACTTTAATCAAGAAAGTCACATTCGGAATTATTTTTAATGCCAACTGATCTGTATTTAGAACAGACACCGATGACTAATTCATTGTGCTTAATGCACTAAAGAAAATCAAAGATGAGAAACTAGAGAAAGTGCAACATCTTTAGATTAAATTATTACTAATGAATTTATAAATATAAATTATAAATAAGTATATGGATATTTATATATAAACAAATAAAATTAAAAAAAAAAAGGGTATTTTTAAATTATAAAAATAAGAACAGGAATAATTAAATCTGACATTTCTGATCTCTTTCCAATTTTTATCTTATTTTAAAAATGCAGCTATGATGGCCAAAATGAACGTAAAAAAAAAGTTAAAAACGTTTAATAAACGATACCTTTAATAAATTTATTAAACGTGTTATTAGCATATTATTTAAAACTGTTAATTAAGAACTTGAAAATCTGAACGAATGGTTTAAGGCTCTCTAAATGTCGAAAAAAGTAAATATATTCTTTTTACAAAATTTTCAAAATCTGAAACCCTCCCCTTAAAACTACCTGATTTACTAATTGATAAAACTAAACTTAAACGAGAATACTCAATCAGGTTTTTAGGTGTAATTCTTAATGAACATATTAGCTGGAGTAATCATATCAAAGTAATAGAAAATAAAATATCTAAAATTATTGATATTATGTATGAATTAAAACATCTCCTGAAAAAAAATTGTTTTAAAAATATTTATTTTACATTTATTCATAGCTACATTAGCTACTGCGACGTTATCTGGGCAAGTAAAGTTAAATACGATCTACAAAATACAAAATCGAGCAAGTTGCTTAATATTAAATACAAACAAATACGCTTGTACCAGACCATTACTAAGAGAAATTGGAGTGCCAAATGTCTATGAAATAAATACAGTTAATCCTTATAACTCAAACTTCCAAGGGACCAAGGAAAATGGTTTGACTTAAGCAAAGTCCCGTTAAGTCGAACTTATACAGAAATGAGATATGAGTTCGAGTTAAGGCGATTTTTATTTATTAAATGCTAAAGATAAACATTAAGTATACACTTTTATAGTAGTAAACTCCCCATTGTCAATTAATATCATGTAGCTTCGTAGTACTTTCAGGGCTTGACATACATCACCCGATTGAGGGCAAGTTGGTTTGATCAAAAAATCTACATCACTATCTTCATCTTTTTCAGCCTCAAAATTTTCTTTTCCTAAAACGTCTGATATAATCTCCTCATCATTCATTATCGGCTTGGCAGTGTTGACAAAATCATCCGTGGACACGACATCTTTTGTTGTTGTTCCTTCAGGGAAGAACTTGGATGTATGAACAGCGAGCTTTTCTAACTGGTTTTTGAGATCCTCAAAGGATTTATCCACATCTAGCGAGGCGTCAAAACACATTTTCTCTGAAATTCCAGCTTTAGCAAAACAATAGCAAATAGTTTTGGTCTTCACCTTTCCCCAAGCAATATTTAGTTCTTCCTTCGTAATTTCACAAACCCATTTCTCGAATAGTGTGCCATCCACCCAACATTTCTTCTGACTGCAATAACGGCAGGGCAAATGCTTTACATTTTTAAAGCATTTGGGCGATTTAGCTTTGTCAATAACAAACATTGGCAATTTTTTCCCTAATGCGGATGTCAATCCTGTTAGACGTAGTTTGCTGTGTTTTACACCGACACATTTTTTAATTTTTAAAATGTAAAGATTTATTTGGTTCGAGCCAATAAAACAAGTCAAATTTGTCAGCAATATGAATTTGATTAAACTTATATTTTGATAAAATGGTTGGTAACGTGATTTCCTCCCATGGTACTACCACTTCACTTGTACACGCATTAGTTTCACCAGAAACCGTTTTAAATGATATGTTGTATTGTTTCTTACAACTGTCTAACCAACCATCTGAAGCATGAAAATTTGTAACATTCATTCTTTCAGCAAATTCCATGGCTTTAATTTCGAGAATTAAAGCAGAGACAGTGACATCTCTGCTACAAACAATCAGAAGCCATTTGAAAATGGCTTGATCCAAATTTGCAAATGATCCTTTCCTCATACGCTGACGTTTTGGGTTGCTTCTTTTCTCAACAGCAGCAAAAATCATTTTCCTTGTTTCTCAACCAGGTAGATAAGGTGTTTTCTGGTATATCATATTTTAAAGCGACCTTTGACTTTGAGATGCCATCTAATACTTCCTTCAGTGCGTATTTGACTTTAACAGTTTTTGTATTTAATTTTCGCGGCCGTGGCGCAGCGGTTAGAAAGCTTGCTTTAGAAACACTTTAAGCAAAAAAATGCAATACAATTTTTTGTTTAAAGTGTTTTATGTTTTATATGGAATGACTTTTGTATTGGAAATAATGAAATCAAAATAACTTCAAGTTATTTTGATTTCATTATTTCCAATACAAAAAGTTCGAGTAATCCGAAGATATTTGCCGAAAGGGGACAATAAAATGGTTCGACTTAACGAAGTTCGAGTTATCGATTGTTTGACTTAACCGGAGAATTTTAATAGTAGTCAGTTAGACAATTTCAAGGGACCAAATGAAACAGTTCAAGATAACAAAAGTTTGAGTTAACCGGTGTTCGACTTTCCGGGAATTAACTGTATTATTAATACTTTTTTGTTTAAGTTTAAAAATCATATGCTACCAAGCATTTTCCAACCTTACTTTTTTTCTATAAACCACTAATACGAAACTAAATTCTCAATAAATAACTTTATTATACAAAAATATTATCAAAACAAGCTGATTTTTCGATATCTTGCCGAGGGCCGCGATTATGGAACTTACTTTTAACAAGTAATATAAAAACTTTAAATCCAACTCAACATTTTAAACGTGCAACAAAACAACACTTATTTGATTTTAATACAAAGCAATTACTATCTTATTATTAAAAACTTTTGATATTCTTAATTATTTAATGTCTTATAAATTGACGCAATATCTTAATTATATTGTATGGTACTTAGAACATGTATGATATTTTATTTTACAATAATAACGCAATTTGTAAATGCAATATTTATTATATCTTACGCAATTTGTAGATGGAATATAAAACAGATTTATTTGATTTTGTATGTATATATGAGCGAACATATATTTGTGTTTACGTGTGCGTTAGTGTGTGTGTGTGTGTGTGTGTGTGTGTGTGTGTGCGTGTATAAAAAAATAATAAGAAAAAGAAATAATAATTTTTTTTTTTTGCTATAAATAGTTAATTGATTGTTAAATCAGTTCTCGCTTTAGTTTCTTTTTTCCTTTTTCATTTTTATCGGCTGAATGTTTTAGTTATATTAACGGGGCTGGATGATATGACAACGTCTTCTACCAGCTTCGGTCGAAACTTTAATGTTATATTTTTATATTGTAAAAACATTGTAAAAGATTAGTTTTTAATGACGAAATATAAATTTAAAAACAAAAACAAAAAAAAAACAAAAAAAATTCATTAGATATTTTCATAACCTTCTATCATGGGTTATCTGGGACTCCCTACAACTAAATCAAAACGCTAGTAAAGCGTATGATATCTCTCTAACTGAATCCCAGAAGTTACTAAAGTAATCAAAACAAAAACACTTGGATCACTAAGGGCAAGGAGTTATAATAGCGTAGCTGGAGGGAGAACGAAGTTAAAATACGTCATTTTTCAAAGAAGAGTCTTAGTAGTAACATAATTTTCAACTAAACACCGCGGATGTATCATAATTAAAAGTTAATCAATCACATTCTACTTTAAAAAAATCTATCAAATGATATTGTTTCAAAACGTCATAAGCATTGGAAATAAAATAAAAAATTCGTAAACGATATTTAAAGTCAGTTTGTTGTTACTTTTTGTTGTGCTTTTTGAACGACTAATAATAAATTTCTAAATTATAATTGAATTAATAAATGTCTAGATAAGAATTAATAATATTTTTGCCATGTATTTATATCTCTTTATATTTTTGAAATGTATTTGATTTTTAGAATAAAGCAATTTGCTTTTAAATCCAGCAAAAATACTCCAACACAAAATAAAATCCTGGCGGGATTTAATAAGTTCCTGGCCGAAAAACTAGTCTTAAAGAACGTTACTAACCTATAACTGAACTGGCAAGCAAAAAATAAGGTTGAAATAGGTAGCAGAGATTGTAAAAAACTTTGATATTTATACCTATAATTGAGTTACGCAAGAAACAATTAATTAACCGTAATCGTGATTTTTGTTTTAATTAACTTCTTCATTGAACAAATAGTTGTTAAAAACATATCAAACAAACTTTTATTTTATTAATCCATTTCGATTACAATTCTCAAAGTTTACTGATTACATTTCAAAACTTTTCATTTTTTTGTAAAAGCGCCATTTTGACTTGCTACTGAAATAGTTATACTACAAAATCTATAATTCGGTTTAAACCCATTTTTGGCTTCGTTCTCCCTCCAGCTAAGCTATTATACCTCCTTGTTAAGGGTATTCTTAAATCTTTTAAAAAAAAAAAAAAAAAAAAAAAACGTTTCTTAAAACTCTTAAAAATGAGACTAATTATAAAAATTATAACATCTGTTTCAAACAATTTTTAATGCGCTCAAAGAAACATTCTTTTAAAAGTGCCTTAACTACACTCGGTGGGGTAGGTACAACCGGCGGGGCGTGGCGGATCAGCGGGGCGGATCATTTTAACGGTACAAACGGCGGGGCGGATAATTTAAAAGTTGCTAACATTTTATAATGCAAGTGATACTTCATTAAATAAATTTAAAAAAACTTCTTTTATTTTTTTTTTTTTTTATTTGATAAGTATTTTTTATAGATTCAGATTTAGTTTAAGTTCATTAAAGAAATAATATTTAAAAGGTATTTGCAAATTATAATTTTAATAAACGACGAAAAATATCATATAATTTTAAAATCATTTTTACAAAAAACAACGTGATCCACCAATTTATATCAAGTGAGCCGCCAAACTTTATATAGTAATCCGCCTAATATTTTGATTGCTTATATCAAACTCTTTAAGTTTTACCAATTGTTCTACCAAGAAACAACGTGATCCGCCAAACTTTATGATGTGGTCAGCTTAATATTTTTTTTTTTTTTTTTAAATTCATATATTTGCCGTATATATAACATTTACAAGTTTCGTAAATTAAAAGTAATATTTACAAGTCTCGTGAGTCAAAATATATAGTGAAATTTATAATTAAATAGTACAGGCCGGGCTTCAAGAAGATCGTAATGATCTTATCACGAAGCCCTTACAATGTGTTTGATATATTATTATGATTATGTTAAATATAATTATATATTAAGTACAACTATGTTTATATATTCTTTAAATTTAGCTCATAATAAAAAATAAACTCAAAATAAGCTCAGTATAAAATATTAGACATAACTAGCAGCATAATAACTAAACTTGATAAGAAAAAATCAAGTGTTTTTTTTGTGTGTAATAAACAATTTTTGATATATTGTTTGAGAAAGGTAAGAGTAATTTAGATAATACACATAAACGAGTCAGTTCACTTTGTAGTTGATATATATGTATTTTAATTTATAGTCTTAGAAGAATTCTGAGTATCTGTTTAGATTCAGTACCAGATTTTTTAACTTTTTTTTCAAGATATTTTGATTGCAAATTGAATCTAGATTGCAAATTGATTTATTTTTAGTTCCTAGTTTGTTGTATAAATAAGGACCCCGATATGAAATTGAGAACTGGGAAAGTTTTGTTTTTTTGAAAGGTGTAATAAAGTTTCCTTTTTTTCTTGTGTTATATTTATTAACGTTATTTATAAAAAAGTTATTTAAAAAATGGTTTGGTACTTGACCTAATTTAAATTTTAGCATCAACAGTATATTTTGGTAAATATTAATTTGATAAATATTAAGCACATTCATTTCTTTAAATAAGGGTTCAGTGTGTGTAAATTTGTCTTTATGGTAGATTAATCTAACAGCATGTTTCTGACGTCGATATAAAGTTTTCAATTAGGTTATATGCGTACTCGCCCAAGCTATATTCGCATATATGCGATTGCTTATATCAAACTCTTTAAGTTTTAATGATTGATCTACCAAAAATAAACGCGATCCGCCAGTTTATAATATAAATAAATATAAATTGCGGATAAATGCGGATAAATTACAATATGCAAATACCTTTTAAATATTATTTCTGTAAAGAACTTAAACTATATCTGAATCTATAAAAAATACTTATCAAATAAAAAAAAAAAAAAAAAGTTTTTTTTATTTTATTTAATGAAGTATCACTTAAGTGATAATGAAGTATCACTTAAGTGATACTTCATTAAATAGAATAAAAAAAAACTGCAAGTACTTGCATTATAAAAAGCAACGTTTAAATTATCCGCCCCGCCGTTTGTACCGTTAAAATGATCCGCCCTGCTGATCCGCCCCGCCCCGCCGATTGTACCTTATTATTACTTTGTGGTTACGATTGTACCTTATTATTACTTTGTGGTTATCGACTACATAACATTTTTTAGACTTATATCAAGAACTTTAATGGTTAAAGTTTAAATTTAAGGAAAAATCAATTTGAAGATACCCGGTACCGGGTACTGCAACAAAATGACCGATACTGGGTACCCGGTAAAACAGCCGAATTGTGCCGGGTGATGTGCCGGGTGATGTGCCGGGTACCCGGTTCGGACCCGGGGACCCGGCAATTCGGCTGTTTTACCGGGTACCCGGTATCGGTCATTTTGTTGCAGTACCCGGCACCGGGTATCTTCAAATTGATTTTTTCTTAAATTTAAACTTTAACCATTAAAGTTCTTGATATAAGTCTAAAAATGTTATGTAGTCAATAACCACAAAGTTCTATTAACTTAAAACAATCTCACTTAAAATATTTTTTAATACATTTTTGCAAAAAAATTTATACGGATACAAAAACTGTAACGCTAAATGAAATAATTCGAGAATACGAATAAAAAGAACGGGAAAAAAAGTTTTAGAATAGCTTCTTTTTATTCTGTTAGAACACTAGATAATTTTTAGCAATTTAGTTTTGAATGAAACGCTTATAATGCTTTCGAACGCTGATACCACTTTTCATTCGAATCAAGCAAAAATCATAAAAGTAGAGATGTAAGGTAAATATTATACACATTTTTTATATTTTAATTTTGATAATATTTATATCAAAATATTATTTAGGCCCGCTCCACCAGGAAAGAAAAATAATTTTAAACTAAATATAGTTATTAAAAAACTGTTGCACAACTTTTGAAAAAAGTTAGGCCCTACAACTCAGACCATTTACCCTGCATTGCGGGGTTTTGCTAAATGGTACTTCCGCCACATAACTTTTGGTTAGTAAGCATTTTGTGTGAATAGTTCAGCGCTAGAGATTTCACAAGATTTTATTCCAACTTTTAAAAAATGGACTCGGTGCCGAGTACCCGAACTCGGACCCGGTTTTTTCAGCCGGGTACCCGGAATTGGAGACTCGGCATAAACTGGTTCCGGCACATCTCTACTTATTACACGCTTAATAATGCAATTTTTAATTTTGAATGTACATAATAATTAAAGTATTTCATTACAAAAACAGCAATAATAATAGCTAAATAGAAAGATAAGTTTAAAGTTCTGTTTAAATATCAGCATGTCTGTTGGAAAAAATTTATTCATAGTAACTGGAGCGAGCAGAGGCTTCGGTCAAGCAATAGCAGAAGTTCTTTCAGATACTATACTGAAAAAGTCTGCAGATGATTCAAAAGTTATTTTACTGGCAAGAAATTACGAAGGATTAAAGCATACAGAGGCAATTATTCGAAAAAAAATTAAGCTTAATATTACAATTGATAATTTATGTTGTGATCTGTCTAAACCAGAAGAAGTCGAGGCAATCATACCAAAAATGTTAGTTTCACCAGTTATTAGTTTTGATAATATTTACTTTTTTAATAATGCTGGTTGTATTGGAGATGTGTCTAAATCACTAATTGATTATAATAATTATCCAGAAATTCAAAATTATTTTAACACTAATGTTGTTTCAGCTATATTGATTATTTCTAAAGTTTGTAATTATTATTATAATGTAAAAAAATATGTCATTCAAATATCTTCTTTAGCAGCAATCAAACCACTAAGATATTCTGGTTTATATTGCTGTGCAAAAGCATCCATGGATATGTTTATGAAAAGTTTAAACTTTGACATCCCATGCATTCGTACTTTAAATTATGCTCCTGGTCCAATGGATACAGATATGGCAAAAGAACTTTTATGTAACTCTGGAGATAATGAAACAAAGAAAATATTTGAAAATCTTTATAATGACAAAAAAATAATTGATCCTCGTGATTCAGCTAAAAAACTAATAACTATATTAGAACAAGATAAATTTTTATCTGGAAGTCACATTGATTTTTATGAAATTTAATATATTTTATTGCAATACCAAAGTCTTATACTATGTCTTATACTATCACCACAAAAACTTTTGATTTATGTTCAAACCATAAGTCATTGAAGTTTTAACAAAATGCAAAAATATTTTGTTTTACATATCTTACAAAACAAAATTTATATTATAAATTTTGCTTTATAACAACTAAATATTTTCTTGTTATATCCTGTTTTTATACATATATAGGTTTTATACTTAATATATATATATATATATATATATATATATATATATATATATATATATATACATATACATAAATTATGTTAGTATATTCTACAAATAGAGTGCTCGATGTTCTTAAAAAACAGAGCAATAATAAATTAGTAAAAACACTTATCTAAAATATTAGATAAGTGTTTTTACTAATTTATATATATATATATATATATATATATATATATATATATATATATATATATATATATATATATATATATATATATATATATATATATCTGTACCTCAGAAGACAAAAGTTGGTTGTCCACTTTTTTGTGAAAATGAGTTATGTATGAGACCATTTTAGTTTTTTTAGTATCTACACAGAGGTATAAAGACTGTTCTCCAATGACAATATGAAACAAAGTAAGGGCAATATAAATGGTCTGGTGTTCCCACAATGTTCTAAGGAACAATTTTTTTTTGTCAAAGTTATAATTTTTTTTTTTGTTAAAATTATATTTCATGTGTCTTAAGACACATTTAATAAAACACAAAAAAAAAATTACATAAATTTAACCATCAAGAATAAACCATTAAAGATTTATTATTTTACTATATCTCTCTCCTGAACAATTTCTAAAATGTGACAACCCACCTTTGACTTCTGAGGTACAAATATATACAGAGTTGTTAGTCTTTGACCTGGCCTTAAGGCAAAAAATTTAGGCCTTGGGCTTGGCTTTGAATGTGTTGGCCTTGACCTTGGCCTTGGTCTTAAATATTTTGGCTTTGGCTTTGGCTAAACAAAATACATATTTTTTTATCTTAACGTATTTCAAAAATTGAAGTCTTAAGTCTAAAAACATTTGCCTACGTCTTGGCCTTGAAACTCTTATCTTTGGCCTTGACCTCAAAACTCTTGGCCTTGTCTTTGTCCTTGGTCTTGCTACTTTTGGCCTTGTTAACAACTCTGGATATATATATATATATATATATATATATATATATATATATATATATATATATATATATATATATATATATATATATATATATATATATATATACATTTTTAGGGTGTCTCTTAAAACAACATTTTTGAAAAAAACCTGCTCTTACCCCTTTAATTTGCTCTATATGATACTAAAACACAAGGTATAAATTTTTTTTGAACAAAAAATATTTTTAGGGGTAGCTTAAAACTCTTACAAATTTTACGGCTCCCTAATATTTAAAAAAAAAAGTTTTTCTCAGATATGTCAACCTGGTGCAAAAGAAATGAAGTTATATAAAAACTTCATAAATAATAATCAATTTACATAAAAAACATGCCTAAAAAAATTATTCTCAAAAAACTTCAAAATATTGACTTTTTTTATTTTTAGCTTAAAAGCAATAGTTTTTATGCATTTATATCTAGAAAAATTATTTTTATGAAAAGTAATTTTCATTTTTAAATTTTTTTAATAATTTTGCGTATCAGGTTGGCATACTATGGAACAAATTGAGGTACTATTGAACAACGTGAGGGCACTAATGTAGTAAACTTTCAACTTTACTGTCGTATACTAAATTTAAATTTATCGACAGATTTTCAATTTCGTAGGAAAATATTGTAAATAATAAAAGTAATGACCATGCAAATTTTTTGACTCCTTCCCCCCCCCCCAAAAAAAAAAAAGAGGGGCGTGTAAATTTTGCTTCGTAATAACTTTTGAAGTGTACAATATTTTTCTACGAAATTTAAAATCTGTCGATAAATTTAACTTAAGTATACGACAGTAAAGTTAAAAATTCTACTACATTAGTGCCCAAACGTTTAGCAGGGGGAGGTACTTAAGTTTGGAGTTCGCACAATGAGTGAAAGTGTCCTATCAGAAAAATCAAAAAATCGTGCGGGCGCCTATGGGATTTTATATTTATATAATTTAACATATATGCTTTTTTCCACACGGAAATCCGCGTGAAATTTTCCTTTAAGAATATAGTGTAGCGATCATGGCCGTCTAAACTAACAGGCCTCGTAAACGCGTAAATCGGAGCCTGTGGCTGGGGGCCATTAAAACAACAACAACAAAAGAAAAGTTAAGGATAACATAAACTTTTGATCGTAAAAAACGTTTAAATGTTTTTATTTTAATAAAACCTGCTTATATAATAACAAAGATAAAAAAAAAAAACATTTCCTAGCCATAAAGGTTTATTTGTAATAAGGCTAAATCTAGAAAAAAATTACCAAGCTAGAGAGATTTTACAAAATACTCAATCATTAATTAAACAAATACACAGGAAATAGTAATAATCATAAAAGTCATCATAATTAAAACAAATACATAGGAAATATAAAAAACATAACAATGAAGCCACACAAAAACTATATTTTAAAATGTAAAACTAGAAATTAAACATTTTTAGTTAAAACAACAAAATTGTAATGACATTTTGAAAATATTTCCAAGCTATACAATATAATATTGAAGTTGTAAAATGTGTATAAAAATAACAAAAAAATAGAATTTAAAGACATATATACGTAAAATTAAAGTCGTCATAATTAAAAAAGCAATATATTACTTTGAAAGTTTTAAAATCTTTTGTTGTGGCTCTTTATACGACCTTGGTGTATATAAACTAACATAGGTTTTAAAATATATATTTGAAAGTGAAACAGCATATTTTCTTTCCATGTTAAAGTTATAAGACTCTGATATTAGCATTAGGACATTGCAGAGTGACTTTCGGCAGGCTTGATTAACAATTTCATGAAATAATATGTAAGAGAAAATTGTCCATTGACAAACATTGTCATTTGGTATTTTTAAACCTCCACGATTTATTTCTTCAGTATAATCACCAAATTCTGCATTATAAAATTTAGCATCTTCTTGTTCTTCAACATCATTTCACACAATATATCCAGCTATATATACCAATCCTGCTTTGGTATCTATTTGAACACTATTTTCAAGATACTTACTTATCAGTAATGCTATTATCAATAGCATTACTGCTAAGTAAGTATCCACATTTTTTACAGCTATGTCCACTTTCTCCTCAATTATGTTACCGTTAGATCTTATTCTCAACTTTACGCCTAAAATAGTGTTATAAGCTAAAGCTTTCAAAAATCCATTCATCTTTTAAGATGAATAGTATTTTGAGAACTTTAACGAATGGGTTTTCAAAAATAATATATTTTCAATACACGCTAATTTAAAACATATTTCTTGTTCCTAAAAGTTTTAAACTGATAATTAAAAAATCATTACAAAACTTACTCGATGGTTGCGACTTATAATTCGTAATGAGTGTGAAATAAATTTAAAAATTTAACTTATATGCATTATATTTTTTGTATAAATTGTATTTACATTTTAATTAAAGAGAAATTGTTTTTTTAATGTATTTTTTCACTGTGACACTCCATTTAAAAGATGTTGTTTTAGAATTACATTTGCTTATTATCATTATTTAAGAGTTTTTTTTCAGTTCTTATATGACCCAGTAACTATTACACAGTAGTAATTATTCCATTAAGACACTCTTTGCATTTTTAAAATGATCAAAATTTAGATATTTGTTTCTGCTAGTGATGGTAATAACTGCTTTAATAAATTACTCAAAACACTTTTACAAAACAATTACAGAAACTGCTTTGAATAAAATTACTCAAAAAAGTGGTTTAGTCAGAAACATTTAAGAATAGCAAACAGGCGAATTTTGTGACGGATAGGTTATATTTAAGGAATTTAAAGCTTTAAATTGTTTTTAGAGATCCACTTTTTTCTATTAATTTTTCTATATTTTATTCAAACAAAATGACTGATGCTAACAAAGGTTACCCACGGTAAGATATAAATATCAAGTGTTTACAAATAAATGCAAAAATGGCTTTTTTGTTATACATCAACTGTATTTTTAAATCATTGATATTTTTTAGCTTTGATTTAAAACTGTACGCTTATAATATCAAGAATAATATCATAATATACATAATAATAACTTTTACTTACAATACTTATACTTATAAATACTTATAATACTTAACTTAAATTTATAATACTGATAAAATATTTGTTAATATAAACTTTTGCATTCAAACTTTAATTATAAAACTTTAACTTAACTTGATTACTTTGACATAACTATCAATAATTAATAAAAGATAATAGTTATTATATAGATCATGACCAATTGCTTATTATAACTGAATTTTATTTTCCATAACTTAATTTTAAAATAATGAGATAAAAATATTAGGTTGCAAATTAAAGGAACAAAAATAGGTCTCATATGATTTGTATCTTATGTATATCTTGTATTTTGCAGCATGTTTAAGAATATTTCTGCTTGGTGAACACTGACTGTTGACAATGCTTGCATGAGTAAAATATGAGTAAAAGTGACTTTAACAACCAGATTTTTGATAAATATTAGAATCACAAGTTAGTAAATATATTAATAATTTTAATGCTAATAACTTGTATTTTTTAGAATTATTGAGAGAATTGTACTTATATTTATAAGAATTATGATAGAATTGCTTTGAGGACAAATATAATGATTAGAGTAAATATGAGCTTTCGGGACAAATATAATGATTAGAATAAATATTACCTTTGTTTGTTACCACGATTAGAGTAATGTAAGAAAATAATTTTTTTATTTAAAGATTATTGGGAAAAATTCAATTTTTTCTTAAGTATTTAAATATTATATAAAAATACGTATTATAAAAAAATACGTATTAAAAAAACATGTATTATAAAATAAAAAAATAAGTATTGTATTATGATAAAGTATATACATCAAATCAACTATGC